ATAACTCAATCAACACTCACTTACAGAGCATCCTCTGTGTTCAGTCCCTGAGCTGGGCAGTAGGGCCACATAAACAGCATAAACAGCAGTCTGTGCCCTGAGGGTTCACACTCTAATGGAAGAGGCAAATAGGGAAACAAGGAAGGGTCAGAAAAGGCTTCTCAGGGGAGACAACTGCCAGGCTATATTTAAAATGATGAATAACTTGCCAGGTGAAATGGGATTTGAGACGTAGGGAAATGCAGGTGCCAGGGAGGTATGACAAATCAGCACAGTGTGTTTGGGGCCACTGAAAGCCCCCAAACTCCAGAAGAGTAGCCAAAAATCTACCTGGACATTAGAGTTAGAAAGCCTGGATCTGAATGCCCACTCCACCACTGAATAGCTGTGTAAATGTGAACATGTCACTGAACCTCTTAATGTCTTAGCTTCTTTACATGCAAAATAGAAATAATTATACTACCTTTTTCACCAGATGGTTATGAGAAGTAGATGGAATAATGCATGTGATGTGCTTAACACAGTAACTAGAAAATAGCAAAATTCAATAAACCAAAAAAAAGTCAAATTCACTGCCATTGAGTCAATTCTGACTCATTGCAACCCCCATCAGGTTTCTGAGGTGGTAAATCCTGACAGAAGTAGATTGCCCCATCTTCCTTCTGTGGAGCAGCTGGTGGGTTTGAACCACCAACCTTCTGGTTAGCAGTCAAATGCTTAGGCACTGCACCACCAAAGATCCTTAAACACTCAATAGGGATTAGTTATTATTGGTATTACTGTCATAACTACTATCATAATCATCATTATTGGAACAAAGTGCAAAGACAGGAGGGAGGTTAGGGATAAGACTGGAGAGTTCATTCACCAGGGGGCAGAAGATAAGGGAATGTGAATGCCATGCTGAGGAACTTGGACCTGACCCTGCAGGTAAAGTCAAGTCAGAAGGGATTCCAAGCAGAGAAGAGATATAATCAGATCTGCCTCTCTGTGTATCCTTCTGACTTGATGCTCTTCATTGCAATCCAGAAAGAGTCCAAAAGGAAGAGATTGGGGCAAAGAAACTCTCTACATAGTCAGGTGTCATTAGGAGAATAAATAGTCCTCAGTGTTGTGATTCTGAGTCTACACAGACCAAGAGTGTGGAGTGTGGACTGAAGTAGATAGGACAAAGAAATGATGGCTGGAGGATGAGTCAGGGTTCTCCAGAGAAACACAGTCAGAAGCGGGTGTGTGTAAAATTTGTTGTTGTCAAGTAAATTCCAACTAATGGTGATCCCATGTGTTACAGAGTAAAATTGTTTCATAGGATTTTGTTAGCTGTAGTCTTAACCGAAGGAGATGACCAGTCTTTTCTCCTGTGGAGCCACTGGATGGGTTTAAGCCATCAACATTTAGGTTAGCAGTCAAGCACCAAATGTTTTTGCCAGACACACTGAACACCAATGACTGAGGATCAGACAAGTTGTGAGATGACATCGAGGACATCATACATGAAGAAAGCAAAGGGTGGTTAAAAAGACAGGGGAAAAAAAGACTATAATGGATAATAGAAGAGACTCCAAAACTTCTTCTTGAATGGAGAGGAGCTAAAGCAAAAGGAAGAAATGATTAAATAAAAGCCGAACAGAAGATTTCAAAGAGTGGCGGGAGAAGACAAAGTATTATGATGAAATGAGCAAAGACCTGGAGTTAGGGAACCAAATGGGAAGAGCACACTCAGTATTTCTCAAGCTTAAAGAAGTGAAAAAAAATTCAAGCCTCAAGTTGCAATATTGAAGGGTTCTTTGGGTAAAATATTGAAAGCATCAAAAGAAAGTGGAAGGAATATACTGAGTCACTGTACCAAAAAGAATTGGTTGATGTTCATCCATTTCAGGAGGTAGCATATGATCAAGAATCAATGGTATTGGAGGAAGAAGTCAAAGCTGCACTGAAGGAACTGGACAAACACAAGGTTCCAGAAATTGACAGAATGCCCACTGAGGTGTTTCAACAAACAGACACAACACTGCAAGTGCTCACTTGTCTATGTCAAGAAAACTTGGAAAACAGCTACTTGGCCAGCTGACTGGAAGGGTTCCAGATGTGTGCCCATTACAAAGAAAGGTGATCCAACAGAATGGAGAAACTATAGAACAGTATCATTAATATCACAAGCAAGTAAACTTTTGCTGAAAATAATTCAATAAGTTTTTCAAGTCTTCTTGACTTTCAGCAAGCAAGGTTGTGTCATCTGTGTCAACCTGTGACAAGAGGCTGTTGATGGAGTTTCCTCCAGGCCTAATGCCACATTCTTCTTTATATATTCCAGCTTCTCAGATTATCTGGTTAGCATACAGACTGAATAAGTATGAGATTGAATAAGTGTGGTGAAAGGGTCCAACCCTGAAGCACACATTTCCTGATTTTAAACCATGCAGTACTCCTTTGTTCTCTTTGAATGACTTCCTCTTGGTCTATGAGCACAATTAAGTGTTCTTCATGAACACAGTTAAGTGTTCTGTAATTCCTAGTCTCTGCAGCATTATCCATAACTTGTTATGATCCAATAGCATAACAGAATGCCTTTGCATAGTCAATAAAACACGGTAAACATCTTTCTGGTATTCTTTGAGGTCTGTCATAACTCAAATATGTTATAAGTCAGGGACTACCTGTATTTATTTGTATGGAGAGAGAGATTTAAAGAACCTGCTCATGTGATCATGGAAGCTGGCAGATCTGAAATTTGTAGAGTAGGCTGGAAACGTAGGCAGGATTTGATGCTGTAGTCTAGAGGCAGAATTTCTTCTTGCCTGGAAATCTTTTTGCTCTTAAGGCCTTCCATTGATTGAATGAGGACCACCCACATTTTCCAGGGCAATATTCTTTACTTAAAGTCAAAATAATTATAGTTGTTAACCATAGCTACAAAATATCTTCACACCAAATTCTAGATTAAATGCATGGCTGTGGAGTGAATTCTGACTCATGGTGACCTAAATTTGTTCTCATTAAGTAACTGGGTATGATAGGAGCCCTGAAAGTCAGGATCAGCTAGACAGCAGTGGGCTTTTTAGTTTTTATAAGTGGTACAGTGGTTAAAGTGCTCAGCTGATAACCAAAAGGTCAGAGGTTTGAAACCACCAATTGCTCCAAAGGGAAAAGATGTGGCAGTCTGGTTCTGCAAGATTTAGTCTTGGAAAGCCTATGCAGCGTTTCTACTCTGTTCTATATTGTCTCTATGAGTCAGAATTGACTCAGTCACAATGAGTTTTTTGGTTTATAGTTTCAGCAAGTTGACACATAGACCAACCATCACAGATGAGATCCAGAGAATAGCATCTGACTCATCAGCCCTCATCCCCAAAGGAAACTTTGGACCAGAGCCTCTTTATGGGTCCAAAACCAAAATCAAACTCACTGCCGTGGAGTCGGATCCGACTCATAGTGACCCCTCCTTAGGTTTCTGAGGCAATATTACTACTGAAGTAGATTGTCCAACCTTCCTTCTGAGGAGTGGCTGGTGGTTTTGAACCGCCAGCCTTCTGGTTAGCAGTCAAATGCCTTAGACACTATGCCAGTAGAGGCATGTAAGGTGGAAAACGTCTGCCCCCTGCTTCTGCTGCGGGTATTGCTAGCAGCAACCTTGTTCTGATAGCAGAGGGAACTTTTCACTTAACTTTCAGCTGCCCTCATCACCAAGGGAAGCTCTGGACCAGAGTCTCTTTATGGATAGAAGGCACGATGGTTGAAAACGTCTGCCTCCTGCTTCTGCCATAGGTGCCACTAGCAGTAACCTTGTTCAGACAGCAGAGGGAACTCTTCAGTTAACTTTCAACTGCCCCTAGGCTAGGAGGCACTTTCTCAGGCTTGGGCTGAGAGGGCAATGGAGGTTTCAGCCAAACAGCACCCAACAGAGATCCAGTGAGCAAACACACCAAATGTGGCTGCTTCAGTTGAATGGCAGTCTAGTCTTGGATGGAACGAATGACCACCTCTGGTGACATCATTGAAAAGAGTCAGTGTGAGGTCATAATCTCTCAGTTTTATAGATAGAGGGACCAAGGCCCAAAGAAAAGAAAAGATGTGCCCTGAATCAGTTAAATCCCTGAGTCATTTCAGGAAAGATGTAACTTGCTCCTTTGCATACAAAATAGTTACTATAATAATAAAAAGCTAAGCCACAATCACTCACAGATATATTAAAAGTATTTCTATTTCTTAAATGCCATAATGACATAAACATTGTCTTTCCTCCACCAAGAAAGCAGATAGCAGGCCTCCTGCTGAGATTTCTTTAATCTTATTTCATCTTGAAATTGAGCACAAGGACACGTTAACTTTGCTGTCTAAAACAAAATGGCCTAGTGGAGGAAACTTGGCCCCTGGAATCAGATAGCCAAGGGGGTTAATCCTAGCATTTCCACCAAGTTGCTCTTTGACTTTAAGTGTATTATTTGTATGGACAGCAAAAGTGATAGTGACTCCCTTATAGCATTATTCTGAGAAGTAGATTACTGACGTATGAATAAGTACTCGTATCTGGTGGACACTAGGTTCTCAAGGAAGGAGAGTGATAATTACTATCAATGTCTCATTGTGACTACTACTGCCTGCCTGAGTGGCACGAAACCATTTTCTTACCCTCTCTGGTGCTCAGTTACTTTCTGTCTGTAAAATGGGCTAAATGCCTCTTTCATGGAGTTGCTGTGAAGGTTAAGTGATGAAATATGCAAGGTGACAAGAACGGCATCTGGCATATTATAGTGACTTAGGTCATGTTCATTTCCTTCCTTGACTTCCAACATCTTCTCTTGAAGCCCAAGTATAATCACTCAATTAAAAGAAAGCCTAAGGTAGTTGATGGCAACATGAGAAATAAGGAGCTTTTTCTTTTGCCCTCAAAACTTAAATTGAAGGATAATTATATCCATCAAAAGGTCATGGAGAAAGATCTGGTATCTCCAGTTCCCTACATACAGCAAAATACATTTAATGTGTGATCTTGTTTTTAGGAAATTGCTCAGAGGATGTCTTATGTATCCTGAAAAGGGCTCCATTCAAGAAGTCATGGGCCTACCTCCAAGGTCAGTAACTGAATCCAGAGACCCCTAACCATATGAGTACCGCTTCTTGTGATGTTTCCCCAACTCCTGAGCTAGGAAATCACAGGAAGTTTGTGACTATTGAGGCCCATAGTCAATGTGACCTGCAGATGTGTTTTGTTAACCTTGTAAATAGATGATAGATAGATAGATAGGTAGATAGATAGGTATATAGAGACTCATAAATATAATTTGAACAGGAATGTTTTAGGATTAACAAGGACAAGGTTTCTCTCCAAAGCTACAAGGCTCCTCCTTCCTCAGCCCCATTCACTCATTTATGTTGCCCACCTTGCCTTGGCTGGCATTTTCGTTCCAGCCAGCTACCACCAACACCAACCACCACTCCTATTCAGCCCCCTACCAGTTAGAGTACTTGTCCTTATGCAAGGAAAGCAGGCTCTTAATCTCCTCCTCTATGGAGTTATTCACAAGGGAACCATGAAATTGCCTTGTCCTGCAGATTGACAGCTTAGTGAACATGCTGGCCCAGCACTTATTTGCATATTGCAGCATGCCTCAGGTACTCAGAGGATCCTTATAAACAGAACAATAAGAGGAACTTAACACTGTGAAAGAATGAAATATAGAGGAGATGGCCAAGATATATAGAAATATAGAGGAGATGGCCATTCTGCTCATTTTGAAAATTCAATGTTGCAGTTAGGTTATGTCTCACTATTTTCAATTGAATCTTATCAGGATTTAAAGGGAAAGAATGGGTCCAATTAAAACTAACACACCACCTTCTCAGTTCTGAAAGGATCCTTACCAGTGGTGCTTAAGTTCACTCCTTATGACTTGGTTTCTGACATGAATATGGCTTAGAGGGTTTGCTGATTCTCTGCTTTTCTATAAATCCCAGATGGCAAAGCCCTTAATGTGCACATGAAGTACCTACACAATTATGCTTGACTGCCCCTTTAAGAAAAGGAAGACATTAAAAAATTGAGATAGTGTCCTCAAAAACTAAAAATAGAACTACCATATGGCCCAGCAATTACACTCTTAGATGTACACCAAAAGACTTGAAAGCAGAGACCCTTAAAGAGACTTGTACACCATTGTTCATTGCAGCACTATTCACAGTAGCCAAAAGGTGGAGATAACCTAAAGGCCCATCACAGATGAATGGATAAACAAAATGCCTTACATACATATAATGGAACACTAGTCAGCCAGTAAGAGAAATGAAGTCCTGATACATGCTACAGTGTGGATTGAGCTTGAAAGCATTATGCTGAGTGAAATAAGCCAATCACAAAAAGACAAACATTGCATGACCTCGCTTATATAGAAAGACAAGAAAAAAGCATATGTATAGAGACCAAAGTTTATTAGTGATTACAAGGGGCAGAAGGAAGGGGGGAAAGGGAGATCAACAGTGATAAAACAAAAAAAAAATGCATTGCTGTTCATATTCTCAACAACAACAACAAAACAAATGATATGTAAAAAAAAAAAAAAAAGCAACTGGAAAAGCCTACATGAATGGGGACAAGTTAAATAAAGTATAATGCATAAAAAAAAATTAGACAATGAATGATTAAAGGATGCATCTTACTATGACAGTTAACAGGCTGAGATTGTCCTGGACCCCTTAGTAACTTGCTTGGTGATTAATAGAAGAGTGTTGAGTGTTCTATTGCTAGTACTTTGTATAATGGCTACCAAATTTTAGTGCCCCCCCCCCCAAATGCTCATTGATTAATTGGATCAATGGCATGATAGTCTAGATCTTGTGGGGAATACAGTCCAAGAGCTTATATTCTATAACAGAAGGGAGAATAATATAACAGTTATTAAGTGGAAAAGTCTTGATTCTGAAAGAGGTAGAGCTATAGAACCGTGGATGTTCTGACTCTTCAGCTTTGAACATTAAAGAAAAGGGTCTTTTGTACATAGCCCTTGAATAATAAGTAGAACCTGAACAAAGTAACATGAAAAATATTCTAAGATGGTTAGCACAGCAGACACCTCTGTAGAAAACATGGGTCTTGAATGGGAAGCTCTGAACAAAGACTTGCAACTTTCCAATCTATGCCTGAAATTTGCTCAATAATTCTGTTTTTTATACTTCTCTTCCCAGTGTCAAAACATCTAAACCAAACCAAGTTGTCTTGGAATTCAGATGGCATTATTGAGGGAGTCAAATATAGAGATGGAAATCTGGTGATCCAGTTCCCAGGTTTGTACTTCATCATTTGTCAACTGCAATTTCTTGTGACTCGATGCCCAGAAACATCTATCGACCTGAAGTTGGAGCTTCTCATCAATGAGAAGGTCAAAAAACAGGCACTGGTGACGGTGTGTGAGTCTGGAGCACAAACCAAAAAGATATTCCAAAATCTCTCACAATTCCTGCTGGAGCACCTACAGGTCAACACCACCGTATCAGTCAAGGTGAATACATTCCAGTTTGTGGATACGGATACCTTCCCTCTTGATAATGTGTTGTCCGTCTTCTTATACAGTAGTTCAGACTGAACAGTTTTTCCTAGACATCAGGAAGAGACTCGTCACCATGCAGAACTCCATCCATCCAAACACTTGGACAAAAAAGAAAACTTTAGACCAAGACTAAAACCACACAGTATTAAGTAGTGTTCTCCTTTCTCTTAGGAATGTACAGCTCCAGGGTTAAAAAAGAGTTTTGAGGAAGGTACCTTTCAGAGAAAAGGCAGGGAAGTAGTGTAGTGTGATAGACAGAGCCTCACATGAGGATCAGAAGAGATGAGTGTGTACTCAGTCTACAACTAACTTACTTTATGACCTTAGGCCATGCCCCCACCTCCCTGGAACTCAAAATCCATGTCTGAAAAATGAGAGGGCTACATTTGATCTTCTCCAAAGTCTCTTCCATCTCAGTAGGTCAGGCTTGCTCATTACAGACCTATGAGCTAAGATTCCCACAGTGTTTTGGAAGCCTCCAAGCAAAGGGAGGCCCCCACATCTGTACAAAACTGATAGTACTAGTACTTCAGCAGAGTCAGAATGTGGGGACAAGGTTCAGAGTGACTTGCAGAAATGGAAGAACTGCAGGACCCAAAAACATGTAACAGAATAGCCAAACTGACCATCTAGAATCTAAAAGACCATCTGGATATTTGAAAAACCATCCACTAGGCCTAACTCCATTCCAGTTGAGATTGACAGTAAGTTGACAGCATTTGTATCCTGTCAGGAAAGAGCTGCGCATTTAGCAAACACTCAATCAGTGTGCAATGCCCAAGGCAATGAAGTCCTTTAGCTATGGGATAGCTGCTGCCATCTCTCACATGATCTATTTCCATTCCCTACTTCAAACATCTCTCAGAAAACCATTTCTGTAGAGGATTTCTAAGTCCCTGCAAAACTGGAAACGATGATGACAACTTCTGAGCCACGGCAATCTCCTCTCCTGATTTGGGTAGCTATGAGGTTGCTCTAACTATGTCAACTGTGCATCTCTCCATCATCTTCGGAGAAGCACCTTATTTGTTTGAGAGACTTTGATAAGCCATTTAAGTTGGCATGAAAGTCCCTTGAACTTATGCTTCAGTAAGAAAAGACAAAAGACAGACCCTTAACCGGGATGCAAAAGAATGGAGTTAAATTTGCATTTTTCTCCAAGAATGAAAGAAGAGGAAAAAAAGAAAAGGAGTAGCAATCCATGAAAATTCAACCAAGAAAGTTCAGATGTGATTTTTCAAAAAGAAAGAAAAAGCCAGCAGTGGTGGTACAGAGGAGATGGACTTGGGAGAATAAAAATGCCCAAGAGAAATTCTAAGTCATTTGCTGTACTGTGTGCAACATTAACCTTCTCCTTGGTCTCCTCTATGGAATATTCTGTAAAATCTACATCCTCCTTAATGCTTTGTGTGAGGATATGTTCTGGCAAAAGTGGGCATTTGAAGAGGTGTTGAATTCAGCGACCCAAGTGGTATGTGATGTTAAAAAATCAGTTGACTGGTTCTGAGACTCCAAAAATTAGAGAGTAACAGGCCATCTGGCATTTGAGTTACACTCTACCTGTGTAAGACAAAGGAATCTTGCTTATACCAATCATGCACTCTTAAAAATGTGTACAAAATGTAAGTTTATGTAATCAAAAGCAAATTTTCTACCATCTCACAATTTAGTTCCACAATTTAATTGTTCATTTAATTAACAATTTACTTTCCATTTTCACCAAGTTTCCTCTAAGCAGAGGTCCTTGACTTTTGCACTGTGTGTTGATGTAGGTGCCATTGAGTCGGCTCTGACTCATCAGTATCCTATGTTCCACGGAACAAAACACTGCACTATTAGGGGTCCCGAATCTCAGTCTCTGTTAACCAATGCTCCAAAAGCTAACAGTTGACAACACGGGGAGGCACAGTATTTAAAGGTAACCTGTAGCAAAACAAAAAAAAGTCAAAGAGAGTAATTATCAATAACTCAGCCAATAAATAGCTGTGGAGTAGACAGCCTAGGAAGTTTAAAACAAAATTCTGTTACTCCTTGCAGGTTAACCAGCCCCTGGGAATATTATGAGTAATTGGCACCATCTCTGCGAGTAAAATAAGTAATTCTTCTAACTAAAGAACTGGGGTACCTAAAACACATGCCTCTTTGATAAAAACTCAAATTGAGCTCACAGACTCTTTGCTGTAATCACATAGAACATAGCAGAACTTGTAGAGGAAGAAGCTGTGCGAGTTAATGAAAAATAATAAATCAATGTAAACTAAATATATTCTTGCCTTTGGAAAAATTAGCATAGCTTTCTTTCTCCACATTTGGTAACTTATTCTTCACCTGGTCTCCCTATCACCCACTGATGCCTCCTGTAACTCTCCTATCCAATTCCTTCTAAAATCCCCAGTCACACAAAGGTGGCTCAGAGAAGGGCCCAGTAACCCATGACAGTTTGACAGCAGGCACTCTGTAGCATAGTAGGAGCTCTGGTGGTGTAGTGCCTAAGGCACTTGACTGCTAACCAGAAGGCTGGCAGTTCAAAGCCACCAGCCACTCCTCGGAAGGACAGTTAGGCAATCTACTTCCATAGTGATACCGCCTGGGAAACCCAAGGAGGAGTTGCTGTGAGTCGGGTCCAACTCCACGGCACTTAACAACAACAACAAAGGGAGGAACGGCTGAGAGAAATAGGAAAGAATTTACCAAACATGAGAGCCTTCCAGAATTGCTAGAATACAGTGATTATTCTGACACCTGAGATCCAAACCAAAAGACCCATTGCCATGAGCCTGGCGCCTAAGCCAATGTTTGAAGCCCAGTAGTAGCAGGGATTTGTGAAGTCCTCACTTGTGATTAGTAGCCCTGCCTCCTGATTCCTCCCTATTATTTCCCACCGTGTTTTACGGGTCTTCTTCTGTAACCTTTCTGTAATTCCACATTGAGCCCTACATTGAGGCAGTGTGCAACATCTAAGGATTTCTTTTACTCTTCCTTCCCCCTGGCCCACCTCAATCCCATATGGATTCAGTATTCGTGATCAAATCAGAAAAAGCATAAGACCCCAATGTACAAAATCTCTGCCTCTCAGAAAGTGAAGAAATAGATGATAAAGCTATTATTTTTTTTCCAGAAAAAAGAATTAAAAATTTGTTGTCTAATTTGAGATTATGCATATGTATGAGTGAATGTATTTGTGTGTGTTTATGTATATATAGAGATGGATGGATGGATATGTGGGTGTATGTATAAATGTGTGTATAAGTGTGTGTTTGTGGTGTGTTTTACAGTCTGTTTGCTTAACCTGGGTCAAATGAAGCCCCTGCTCTGGGCCTTCCAAACTTTATATATGCTTGTATTTATTTTTAATTATGAAAAGAATAGAAAATAATATTTTCCCATGCCAGCTTATTTAACAACTATTATTTGCTGTATTTGCTTCTATTTCTTTATGAAAATAAAATGATACAGATAGAGGTAAAGTAGTATTCCTCCATCCATTTCCTTACTCCCTCCCTAGAGAAAATCACTACCCTAAAAGTTGTATGTTCCCTTCATTTGCACAATTTTGTACTTGTTCCCCCATAAGACTATACAGTATAATTTTGTGTAATTTTTTTAAATTTCAAAAAATATCATACTTTCCATAATATTTTATGACTTGATTTTTTTTTCACTTCGTATTTTTTTATATTTAACCAGATTAATACAAGTAGATACAGCTCATTCATTTAACTGCTGTATAGTATTGATTTTATTGTTTGGAAAAACAAGTTTGTCCATTCTCCTACTGATGAATATTTAGTTTGTTTCCAGATTTTTCACTACCCCCACTCCTCACTTATCAATATGGTGAGGTTCGAAAGACCAGGTCGTTATGCAAAAGTGAATGTTTTGTGAAAACAGATGATCACATCAGGCCACAAAATGGAGGATGACTGTATCATTCCATAACTGCCAAATTATATCACTGTGTAACTGCCAAACCACTGAGAATCATGGCCCTGCTAAACTGACACATAGCCTTAGCCATCACAGCGAGTGTGGCTCTTGCCTTGCACCTCAGTGTTCATTACAGCTAAGTGCACATTTTTATTGTACAAAATAGTCAGTTAATAGATTTTTTACTACTGTGGTAAATGCAAAATGTCAGATAACAAGATAGTGAGGAGTAGGTATAATACACACAAAGCTGCAACAACCTCATCTTTTTACTACTGTGGTAAGCGCAAAATGTCAGATAACAAGATAGTGAGGAGTAGGTATAATACACACAAAGCTGCAACAACCTCATCTTCTGGTACAGATCCCACCATTGTGTCGTTTTTCTATATAACAAAAATACTCTTTGAAAATTATAAATAGTGTCCCAAAGCTAGTGAATTAGCCATGGCTACTGAGTGTCTACATCCCTCTGTGATCACAACTCATGACCTTTGGAAAGTAAAGGGCTCATTCCATTTCTTCTAAGTATATTTCTGCTTAGTCCATTCATTTAACTGGCATGTGCTGAGTACCAGTGTGCTGCCAGGTCCCATGCAATCCAGTTTACAATCCAGCTAGTGTGCACTATGGCTCTACCAGGCTTCTGAAAAACCAGCCCAAGTTAGCATGCTTGTATTTGAAACATGCCTTTCCAAAGCACTCTGGGCTTGCTTCATAGAGGGTAAAAGGGAAATACCAGATTGAAGGGACAACCAGGAGCCCAAAAGGAAATTTCTTCCCCAAGCTCATGTGTCTGTGTTCCTCAGCATCAGTTCCAGACTTCTTCCCACTCCATGATTTCCTCAGGTGACTTAATCCACTCCCATGGTTTCAAATGCTGTCTTTCTGCAGATGACTCCAAAATCTGTATCTCTTGCTTTTATTTTGCATATCAAATGCAACTCCATATATTCAGTAGCCATTGGGCTCAATCTATAGTTCTCTCTTAAGACCACTCACTTCTAACACAATGGCTTTCACTCCTCCTTCTAATGCATTTTTTTTCAAAGTTCTTTCACCATGACCCAGAGGAAAAAACATTTTACATTACAAACAAGGATGCTCTCACACACTCACATGCAGGAAAATGTGT